GGAGGACGGGTGTTCACCGGTTTAACCGCTGAGGCATGCAAAACATAAGAGTACGCCCCCCCCCCCGCGGCGTCAGCCTTCGAAGGAAAATTCCAACGTCTCGCCGAACTTGCTAATTAGAGCTTCCTTGTGTGTACATAGGGGAGGCATGTTCGGGTTTTCCCGCAGCTCCCTAACCAGCTTGTAAAGTAAAGTCTCACATATCTTGTCTCCGATTCATCCAAACAGACACCAGCACAGGATTTTTTGTTGGTCCTGCCTTCAACACTAGTAACATTTAAAACGTGAGAGTTCTGGCTCTGCCGGGAACATGCTTCAAATCGTCTTTTTTTTGTTCTCTTTAGCGTGCGTTCTGGCCGTGCTCCTACAACACACCTCAAATCTGAAATGACTTTTTTTTTTTCCCTTCAAAGCGTGTGTGACTTCTGGCCTGTGGAGCAAACAAAACTTATACATGACGCAATTTTTTTTTGTTTTTTTTGTGCGTGTGTGGCAACTGTGGGGCAGGTGACGCCCATGTTCTTGGTGTGGCTATTGCCGCGCAACAAGAAGGAGCAGCAGGAGCTGCAGAAGTCGTCCGCGAACAACCGGCTAGGGGGACAGATCTTCCTGGTGGTGGTGGGGCTGTCCATCCTTTTCACCATCATTGAGGCTATCGTGGAGTTGATAGAAGCCTGATGATGATGATGATGATGATGATGATGATTCTATGGTTTTCACGATTTTGAACCGATCTTTTCTTCTTGCGTGCTGCTCTAGAGCAGCAGAATTCATGTTGCGCTTGGATGTGAATGGATATCAATCACCCGAGAAACGGCTGGTGCCAGCCGTGATGATGGTGGGGGATTGTTTTTTGTAATAGTTGGGAGCGCCGTTTGGGGGGGGGGGGGGGTAAGACCCGTGTGCATGTGTGTGATGTCATCTGGTCGTGTGTAGGGCGAGTGTCCTTGAGAGCGTTGGCACCGGTGTGCCGTGAGTCGCTCGTCGGGATAACCGGTGTCGGTTCAGATTGTGTTGCACCAATGAAGCACCTCAAACCGCCCCTTGTTTCGACGAATAATTTAATGTAAATCTTGGCGCTGAAGTGTGTGGTTCGTCGGGAGAACCGGTGTCGGTTCAGATTGTGTTTGCGGACCAATGAAGCATCTGAAACCGCCCCGTGTTTCGACGAACAATTAAATGTAATCTTGGCGCTGAAGTGCGTGGTTCGTTCGCTAACCTTACCCTTGTTTCCGCTCGCCCGGTAGTGTTGGTTGGTGGTTGTCCGTGCCTGATTTTGCTGTTTTGATGGGTTATTTCTTGCGTGTTGTTTTGTGGTTGCTTTGATTTTTTTCTTGCTCAGGACCGCTCGGAAAGTTCAGCCCGGCAACATTCCATATGCATTCCACACCACTCTCATTTTAGGTACTTTGTGAGAGTGTGTGCCACGCAGAGAGTACGTTTCTCTCTCTCTTAAGTGTAGTTCGAGATTTCATCACCAAAGAGCCAAACGAGGGGGTAGCATTCTGATTAGTTAGCTGGCTGGCTGGCTTTGGGGCCATCCTGGGGTGACTGCAGACTGCTGTATATCTATCAGAGAGCATGGGGAGGAGGGGGGGGGGGCAGTGGAGTCGGTTTGCGGAGCCCCCGCTTACAGTAACTTCTGGTGGTGAGATCGCGTGACAGATCAGATGGAATTGTCGGGTTGATTCCTTTCCTGGATAGTGCTCTTGTACCCGATTGTGTTCCGGCCTCTCGTGCCCCCCAAGGAAAACAATGGGGGACGAGAGTTAGTTAGCTTCGCAGCGACCGTCCACGTGGGGACGGCGGTGGTGTGGAAAATGACCACAATGTCTTGGTCGTCGTCAAGGCCGGCCTCCCCGGCGTGATAACAGTTAGTTGTGACCTCGCAAACCTACCAAGTAGTAGGGGTTGGAGATTCGATCATTACTGTCTGAATTGAAGGCGAAGTTTCTGTTCAGTTTGCGAGGGAAACGAATAATTCACGAGGTGTGCACTGGTATGTATTGGCTTGCTTGGCGATTGACGAGGGAAAGACGAGAATCTTTCTTGGGGCGAAAAGAAATTGCAGGGAAGGCAAGCACGGCAGGAAGGCGGAGAAAAAAGGCGCGACAAAACCCCCAACAATTATGAAGCTTTCGCTCCACCTTCTCAAACCACTGCACTATATCCATCCGCGGAACTTTCATTCGTATCCCCCACCCCTTGCCCGACCCGGTCCCAAATGCCGATCTCGAGCTCTACTATTGTACTGCTGCGCAATTGAAATAACACGAGCTCCTGCCTGTGTGACCTTCCGACCCCCGGTTGATGCGTCAAAACATGTGCCGACCTCGAGCTACTGCTGTGCAATTGAAGTAACACAAGCTTCTGCCTGTGTGACCTTCCGACCCCCGGTTGATGCGTCAAAACACATGACGCCGAATGGGGTGTAAACTGGCGCCAAAACAGATGGGCCGAGAACACACCAGAAACACACAAACCACCCGTTCCTGGTCGTTTTTTGTGGAACGGTTTCCATGCATTGCCTGTCGTCGGTTGGCGTGTTTATAGTCTTCACATGTATTTACGTTCATCCATCCGACCCGTCGCGATTTCTTCCATATATTAATTGCGTTGGCACCGAGGGGGCGGGCGAACAATAAACAGTCAGCAGGAGAGGGACCCTTCTGTCTGTGTGCCCACGGGTTTTGGAGCAAACGGCACAACAAGTGTTGTGAGCGCTGGTTTGAAGTGAAGACCACCAAAAGGAAAAATCCGGCACTTTCTTTCGTTGACTGAGGACGACGCAGAAAGGGGCGAATGAACGAACGAACGAACGGACGGGTTTCTTTTCTTCCTTGGAGCTTGTGAGATGTGCGACGGGTTACTACAATACGTAGTTTGGAACAGAAGGTTTGTTTTGTGCACCTATCTATACACAACGAACCACCTCTTAAGAACCTATATTATTATAGTTTCGGGCGAGGCTGGGTCTCTTAGTTCCTACAGTCATGCTACGAATGGTCGCAATAATGTAGGTTTAAGTGTAAGGGGTTCTGAACCGAGCTCACAAATGGTGCTCGAGTTAAAAAAAAATCCGTTTTTCGGAGGCTCAAAATATTAAGTACGGTTTTCGTAAGGGGTCACTGCTGCTGCGATACGTCAAATCGCCGCTTCTGGTGCCTCATGTTTCTCAACACTCCCAAGTCTGGTTGATGCCCGCGAGAGTTCGCATCTCTTCGTCGACGCCATTCATTGTGGAAAGAGGAAATCGTCCTCCACAGACGTTGGGGAGATAGACTATTATAGTGTAGTACCTTGCTTCATGAAGAAGTGGTCTCCACACAAGCTCGCTTTTTGGTTGTTTCGTATGCATGCATGTGTAAAAGAAGACTGTTTTTCTTCGGTATTTTCTTGAGAACGGCGGCGGGGAAGGACCATCCCTGCACGCAAGAGGAACGCGACACAGGACACACCCCATCTAGCACCCCTTCTCAAGCAAACGGAGGGAGCAAGACCCATACACGCGGCTGGGGCGGGGCCCGCCTACAGTCCATAATTTACTCATTTTACCGAAACACACTTTACTTGAACACGTGTGATTGATTGCGTTATCGACGAAGACGTCCGTCGTCTATATCCTTTGATCGACACGAGCTACTTCTCCAACCTTGACACCAAATGCAACAAAAAACAAACAGCTGCCCTTTGTTCTCGGCTTGGCTCTACCATACGCCATGTACATACACCTCGTCCAAGGAATTTCGGCCAATCAGAATTTCAGCGGCACCAATGTTGGACCCGTGGGAAAACCGCGGGCACCCAACTAAGTGTATTCTGCCCTTACTTTCTTGTCCCTAGGAAAACTGCGGGCACTCAGGGTCCTCCTCTCGCATGCATGTGCGCACACACGAGCACACGTCAACCAAAGACACACTACGAGCAGTGTTTGGTCCTGGGCGACGCTCTTCTTCGTGGGCAACACACCAACTACACTGAAGTGCCAGTGGGCCGTTCGTTTTTTTTACGTGTTCCGTCAGTGTAGGCAGGGTCTTCGAAGCGCGCTCGGGCACCCGTTGGTTGCCAAAGAAGTCAGCTCCCTTCACGACGTTTTGTGTCGAAGCTACACGTATCTATCTACATTTTCCAGAGATGCAAGATTCAGGCTAATTCCCGCCCCCCAGACGCCATCCACCCATCCACTGCTGCTGCTGCCGCTGCTGCTGCTGCTGCATCTATTGACAGAGACAAGCCCAAACAACGATTCCAAACGATACCATCGATCGCTGTCGTCAACACATAACACGGCAGGCGGGTGTGTGGTGGTTCGCCGAACAAGTCGGTCATGAATAGACACCTCCGCAGTTCGAACGCCATCCCGCACTCGGATCAGGCCGTTCAAGACTACCTTACCGCCGCCGCCCGCGAGCATGTTCGTCCGCAAAAAAAGAGGCAACAAGTTTACGATCTACAGTTTCGAACAAATACGCCATCTACACAGCGAACACGAAAAAGATATGCATGTATGTAACATCGAGACACAACACCGACGAGCAAAAAATATAGACATCACCGACACAGCGAGCAAACAGGTACAATTACAAGAGTGGTTAGCGAGAGAAACAGCAGGCGTAACCGGCCAGCGAGAACAGCATCGCAGCCGGCGATGTAAGGCTCGTACGCGTGGGTATTGCGCGGTTACCGTCAGTATCTACACCTGCCTGCCTGCATGCACACCACGCGGCAGCAGCAGCAGCAGCTCTACCCCCCCCTCCGTGAGAGAATTGCGCTAAGCACCGACGGCACACGACGGTACCAGCAGCATCAAAACATCCAACAAACCTTCATCAAACCTCTCCTTCTTTCCTGTGCCAAACTCCGTCTGTGGTCGTCTTACAGCAGCGCTTGCGCTCACGCCCCTGTGAGTGCAGCCGTTGTAGGGACCGCGGCGGCGGCGGCGGAATCAACCGGCTTCTTGAAAGTCGCTGTCGCCGTCGTCGTCGTTTGGTCTTCCTCCATCATCTGTCGAAACTCGTCGAAGGATATCTCCCCATCCCCGTCCAGGTCGATGTCGCCTGCTCGCAATGGGAAGCCCCCACGACGAAAGAGAGCGTGAGCGACACAATAATCGTGGAACAGTTACATACACCGAACAACCCCCAAGCCAACGCGGCACAACACAATACGCTATTCCGCCGCACACCGACCGACACACATCAAAGTCCCCACCTCACGTTTCGCGCTAAAGCAAATTCAACGCCGCCAGAATGGGGGGAGGAGATACAGAACACCGCATTAGCCGGTGCGGGGGGCGGGGGGCGGGGGGGGGGGGTGAACAAACGGAGGGGGGAAAGAAAATGCTGATGTAAAGCTCGCCTTTCAAGTTATCCCACTTCAAGAACACTACAGAAATGAACGGGGGGGGGGAGGGGGGGTACTCATAGTCGTGCATGCCGTAGTCGTTAGACCATTGACCTCGCATCCCTACAAAGCCGGGACGGAGCACGCCGGGTTCTCACCGGACCAGGCTCTCACATCACCAAGCGCGAAGCGCCGTGAGGTATTCGGCGAGTCGCATGAAGGGTGCGCTGCAACCTGCTAGGTGTGGTGGACATCTTGTGCTTACTTCCTTGCGTACGGATGACAGCTGCGTATGACTTAGTTTATTTTCTGGTGCTTTCACTGCCAGAGACAGTTATAAGCACTGTGTAACTGCGTCGAGGGTGCTTGACCTTTTTAAGACAACGTGGTACGATCATCCCCTTTGCGCGGAGTGAGGGTTCTCCACCCCGCACAACATGATCTACTCGACAACCATTCATGGTTACCGCAAAAAAAAAACGGACGCAAAAAGAAGCGGGGGAGGGGGCAAAGCACAAAAACAAACACAAGCGCAATTAATTCCACACAAAATCGTCACTATTTTGTCGTGGTAAGAGTGCGGAGCCCGGAGAAACAATGACAAAAAGAAAACAAAAGGATAATATTCTCGAAAAGAACAAACGTGAATGAATTCAGGTGTGAGAGGGGGCTAATATTGCATACAAAAAAAAAAAAGGTAAGATGAATGAAGTACAAATCTATCCCAGAGTCGCGGAGGAGATGAGCTTGTGGTGTCATAAGCAAGAGAAAACAAACACAAGAGGGGAAGCTCACCGACAATCTCTCGGGCGTGGTCTTCGCTGCCGAATATGCTGACGAGATTCGCCAGGGTGATGCTCCCCGAGCCCTCGATGTCGAAGTGCTGGAAAGCTCTCCTAACGTTGTCTTCCCGAATGAAGACGTTCCGGTCGATCGTCGCCGCAAGGAACTCCTGTGCGGTGCATTGCATGGGTACGCACATGACAGATAGTTGGATCGACATCAGTAGACGGGACTTATAGCCGGTGACGGCTTTGGATGACCTCCAGAAGCATAGCATACATACATGACGGATCGATCGTTTGGTCGACATCAATGGATGGGAAATATAACCGGTGACGACTTTGGATGACCTCCTGGTGCATACCATACGTACATACATGATGGATCGATCGATTGGTTGATCGACATCAATTTTTTTTTTTTTGTCTTCGCTTCAAATCAGCGCTCACAGCACTAGTGTCGTTTACTCCAACCCGTGGTCACACAGAAGAGCCCCTCTCTACCCTCCCCTCCTGCGGTACTTTGCCTTCGATTTTTAATGCGAGAAGAGTTCAGCACTCTCTTCCCTCTGTGTACACACGAAGTAGCGCTATCCACTAGGCCAGGAGCGGAAGCGAGAGAAAAATTCACTTTGCAAGAAAAGCTTGCTTACGCCGGGATTAGAACCCCTGACCTGACCTCTAGAAGGTTTCCAGGATACCGACTAGACCACCGGGGCGACCGGCAATAGACGGGAAATATAACCGGTGACGGCTTTGGATGACCTCCTGAAGCATAACATACATACATGACAGATCGGTAGATCGACATCAAAAGACGGGAAACACAACCTGATACGGCTTTGGGTGAACTCCTGGCGCATAGCATACATACATGACATATCGATCGGTTGGTCGACATCAATAGAAGGGGGAAAAAAAAACAGAAGACATACAACCGGGTGACGGTTTTGAATCAACTCCCGCTGCATACATGGCACGTTAATCGACATCAATAGACAGGAAAGACAAAAGATTTGCAACCGGTGACGGTTGGTTTTGGATGAACTCCTCATACAGGACGGATCGATCGATCAATCGACATCATAAGACGGGAAAGGCAGAAGATGTACGACAACCGGCTACGGCTTTGGATGAACCCCTGGCGCATAACCCAAACCACTATTGAGGGACCTCCCCCGTGGCGGCTTTCGCCTGCTGCTACTGCTGCTGCTGCATCAAGTGCACCCCACCTTCCATTCGATCGTGTCGTTG